CAGGAACTTTTTCATGTGTTTTATCTCTGTGCCACTATCTGTACCTCCTCTGAGAGAGTCTTTTAAATATCCATTTTCCTGTAATCTGTTAGGTTCTATATTAATATGTCTTTGTGCTATAGTACTAGTTTCTGTTTTCTACGCTGAAACCTCATAATGTTTGTCTCTATTAGACTATAACTCTCTTGAATGCAGGAACAAGGTGCTTTCATTTTTATAATCTTAGGACATACCACAGACCTGGTTCTCCCCAAATAAATGACTGATTCAATGGATGATCCAGTAATGACTCCAAGCTATATAATCATATAATACCAAACATAAACTTCACAACTTCACCCTGACACAGACCTCTCTTTCTATTTTTTTTAAGAGAAATTTTTGCTATAGGATACATGTGCTTGCTGGAGAGATAGAGACAGAGACAAAAGAGAGAGAGAGAGAGAAATTATCTCCTCAGGGGGATGGCCACATCGTCATTCCTTCTCCTCCATTCTCCTCTTGAGATTTTGGGCATGTACACATATGCACCCAGCATGAGTTTTAGGTGGCCAAGTCTGGGACTCAAACCATGGTAGACTACGTGGGAGTTCAGTGACATAACCACTATGCCCTCTGCTGGTCCTTTGTTTTCTTTTTTAAAATTTTGACAGTGTGCATGTGTGCTTGCCACAGAGGGAAGAAGGGAGGGCAGTGAGAAGGTACCCCACATAGGACATATTCAGGCCGTATTTCTTTTATCTTTATTTCTCTGACGTTTTGAGATTTTGGATATTCACACACACATGCTTAGCACAGTTTTCAAGGTGTTGGATATAGGACCCCAATTGTACATGGTTGACTATGTGAGATGCAGCTGCCTTAACCTCCAGGCCATGGGCTGGCCCTCTGTGCTCTGTTTCACCTGGCCACCCCGTCTCTGCCTGGGCTTCAGTCTAATGATTCTAATTATTATGTTCCATATGCATTTGCCTGCCCCTTCCACTGTCATGTTGTGCTGATGGCTGCTCCTGTGTGCAGGGCCTTCCTTCCTCTCTGCAAGTTCACAGACACCACTTCTAGTAAGAAAAAAATAACCTTAAATATTACCTTTTACAATACATAGTCTTCTGTTGATTCCCAGTGATGAAAAGAAAAATATGCTTTTGGGGCTTTCTGGCATTGCACTTTACTTCTCACTGTCAGGTACAGATAGTTTTGGCCACAAGTGAAAGAGAACCCAATTACAATGACTTAAATAGATAAAAGTTAATTTTAAGTTTTGTTTCACAACAAGAATCTGGAGGTGAGTGACTATTGGCTTTGGTTAAGTAATTTAATGATTCAAGAATATTTGAGGTCACTTCATGTGATTCTCTTGACTTTTCCCCTCATAAATGCAAAAGACATAGAGAGCCCAATATCGTGCTTATATTCAGAGAGAGCCAGCCCTGTCTATGCCTTGTGTCAGGAGAGCAAAAGCTTTTCTAGTAACCACTTAGCATATTTCTGTTTTTATATTATTTACAAGGACTGGGTCAGGTGACCATCCCTCACAAGAGAGTACAGTGAAGTATTTTCAGCTTTCAGACAGAAAGAAAAGACTTGGGAATGGCTATTGGGTTAGCCAGTTTAGAATAACTACCATACTTCTAAATTGTCCAATACTATCACTATTCTTGCTATGAGCTGAAGGTCTCATATTTTCCCACAATCTACAGAGGTGCTTGTCACTGTGCCACCTATCTGGGTAGAAGATTGCCAGTAGAAAGGTTGAGAAGCAACAGCCCAATTATTTTCTAATATGCAGTCAATTGGAAGAGGCCAACCAAATTCTTACATGAATGCAAAAAAATAAGCCAGTAATCTCTTTCAAGATTATTAACTTAATAGCATTTAAAAATATTTATTATAATATGCTAATGTCACTTCATCTTTATAGTTCTTAGAAAATGGCATGGGAGGCTGGATAGTTGGTATAGGTAAACACCAGTTTTTCCTATTTATAAACTTTGTCTTGACCTTGAACATGTTTGTGAAGAGTAATAAAGTTCTGGTTCAGATAATAGCTATTTAAATGAAAGGGATAGCATAGTTTGAAAGATTAGAGACATCACTTGTGATTAGGCCACAAACACTGTACACCTGAAGTGTTTAATTAGACAGTGCTTAGGAGTCTCTTATTCTGAATTGACCCCCTTTAAATCAAGATCAACATAAGATGACCAAATGACATTCTCACTTCAAATTTCTTCCTGCCACTGTCCCTGTATTTTTATCATGAAGTAATGTTGAAAATTGTCAGGCAGAGTTGAGAGAGGAGGCAAAATCAAAGAATGCTAGAAGTGTATCTTGAAGAGGAATGTCTTAGTCTGTTTTGCACAGCTAACTAAAATACCCAAGTATGGGTGATTTTATGATGAACATAGAGCTTTATTTAAAAACTCTCAATTCTGGTGCCACAAAGTCCAAAGTTCTAGGGCTACCATATGGCTGACAGAAACAACAGAGGATGAGGGGAGCATGCAGAGAGTGAACGAGCAGCTTGCACTCTCTTTTATAGCAATCAGCTGTTCTAAAACTGAGATCTAAAACTCACGGGGTTTTGAAAGTCATCATTAATCTATTTGTGAGAGTGTTGTCTTAATGATTCAATAATCACAAACCAATCACCACTCACTAGGCCTCATTACCTTTCAACATCAGATTCCAAAACCTCATACTCTGGGGGATGAGCCATGATCTAAACCATAATAAGAACAAGATTTACCTTTATGGTGGGAGAGTGGCTGAGCAGTACTGAAATGAGGAAGAAGAAAAGGCTTTTGGTCTTTGTGTGCAGTGACTCTCAAGCCTCCTTGTTAACACAGTCTAATGGATCTGCTATGGGCCAGGCATCTAGGATAACCAGTACTGTGCAGCTTTGGGGCTGGCCACTAAGTAGGAAGGCTCTGTTCAGATTATTAGACGGAGTGCTTCTGCAATAATCACACCCTTCCTTCTAGCAGAAATTAGATATTACAGTCTTTACTAATTACAGGCTAGTGGCTCCGGTGCCCTCCCAGTGGTAAATTACTGAGATAGCAGTTGGAAATTGGAGTAGTAAAATAAATCCAGCAGAGGCTTGTCAAGTTTTTCTCATCCACAAAATGAAAATAAAATATCATGTTGGAGACGTTCTATGGAAGGAAAAATTGGAAAGATAACTCAAGTTGCTCAGTACAGAGAATCTTGCTATCAAAGAAACACCACATAAGCCACTGTTAGAACAAAAATGCAATCAGGAAAATTACTTGAAATGTTTATGTTTTCTACTAGTTTTCAAATTAAAGTACAATATCATGTTCCTTTGGGTTGCCATTCAAATTCTGTCTTCCGCTCTTGATTCCCATAAATGTAGTAACTGATAAATACCTCTCTTTTGAAGGATCACTACCTGAAAACTAACATTTTTTTTTCTTTTATGAGAGCTTCACTGTCTGTATGATGCCCAGAAATCACAAAGACATCTAGTCCAAGTTCTTTATTCAATAAATGTTTATTTCTGACTTTGATATTTAGATTCCAAATCAAATAGCCCTAGACAGTGGATCAGAATTTGACTACATCTCAGAGACTGACTAAGACTATTTCTTATCTCAACCTGGACCTTTCCACACAGTTTCCTTCAACAGTTTCAACTTGGGTTTTGGTGATTAGGACTCAGAGTTTTGCTAGTAGATTAATAGCATTTGGACAGCTGGTCTACCACAGCCCTTCCTTATCTTGGTTCCCCTAACTCCCACCTACCCAGTTCTATTTTTGGAACAAAATAATGTGTAGTCCTTAAGCCAGGCTATCACATCCACTAGCTTACTATCAACGGACAGGCAAAAAGGTAGTGAGTGCCCCATCTGGGTGGCACAACTGTTCTTGCAGAGGAACAGCCTCCACATCACTGAGAAGTCCAAATTCTGTTTTAACTGTCTTAATTCTTCTTTTCATTCTCTCTCTGGCTTATCTTTTTTCTTGTCCAAGTGAAGAAAACACAATCGACTCAAGAGAGAGCAAAGTACGTGCTAGAGTAGAACACAAGGCACTCTGACCTCTGCGGCTATGTAGGCAACTGCACAAGCTAAGGGAAACCACCCAGTTACCACTCTGGCACCTCCCTACCCTGCAACCTAGACACTCCGCGTTCGTGTGTGTGTGTGTGTGTGTGTGTGTGTGTGTGTGTGTGTGTGTGTGTGAGAGAGAGAGAGAGAGAGAGAGAGAGGGAGAGAGACGG